TTATTTTGTTATATTCTGAAATATTTTAATTTGATTTATCTTCAAATTTGTCTATTAATTTTAGATTTCACTGCTTTCTCATGCCTAAGATGATATTAAAAATTTCTTTATTTAAATTGAAAAAACAGAATTCGTTCTTGCCTTACAGGTGTTATGATTTTTTTAAAATTAATATTATAATTAATTATGTTTTATGTTTGCAATTAATTTTTTATAATTGATTATAAATACGTTCAGAGACAATAACCTCAAACTTGCATAACTTTATACTTTTTTTTAAAGGTAGTTTTTTTTATAGTTATCCATACTGCGAATTTCAGTATATTCGGATTTTTAGACGTTTATAAAAGTAGTCTTGCTAAGCATTTGAGAAAAATTTAATCAGTTGTAATTTTAAGGTGCATGCTTTTACTTTTCATTAAACGTAGAAACATCATAATTATAATTGCTTTCACCTTACAAAAATTATTTTCGTTTAAGAAATAAAGGTTAACTAGTTTTTTACCGTTATTTACAGCAACATGTCTTTGAAAAATTTCTTAACTACACTGTTTTCATGCGTTGTGCGTATGTGGAAAATATTAACTACTAGCTTTGAACCAGTCATTTGAACAAACTTAGATTTTTTAACTCATTAGTTTTGTGAAAAAAAAAAGTTCATTTCATGCATCAATAGTAACTTACTCATTGTGTACATTATAAACAAAAATTAAAAATAGTAACTGCCATATACTCAATTGTCAATAACTTTTTATTATACAATTAGAAACGTTCACTAACTTCCGAAATTTTGATACTTTTGATCCAGTCACCACACCCTAAAAACGAACGAAAACTCTACCAGAAAAATGTTTTCCTATTAGGAAGCACCCGTAATCTATTTTTTTTTTTTTTTTTCTAATAAGGACTGATACTTGTGCCAAATGGTGAAAACTTGGGCTATGCGTTCGGTGACACCAAGGGAAATTATACAGCCTCGTTCATTCATCGCACGTCAGCAAAGTCTAGAGCCGAAGACCTTCCACCTCCACAGCCGTCATCTCATACGTGGGGCATATTTTTCACAATATTGGGTACTGTACTGTTGGACTTCGACGCGGATGCCTGTCAAAGTCCAGCAAGGGCTTATCTGCTCGACGTAACGCTGCCAGGTTTGTTATAGCACGTAAGCGATCCAAGGTCAATCGTTTCAAAATATACTTAATAATTACGGTTTTTTTTTTTCTTATTAATAAAAACAAAAGATGTACTCAGTTTATTTTATTTATGAGGAATTTCTGATAATAATTAAACCACATACTTATTAAAGTTAGTAGAAAGATAAATCAATTGTAGATTATTCTAGACTAAAATAAGTCTTATTACATAAATATTCGCGACAATATTGTATTCAAAATTAATCGTTGATTTCAAGGGTATTCGGCTTACATTTTCTTATGATTGACTGCTTGTGTGTTTTAATACAATATTAATCAAAAAAGGTACTAGATGTCGGAAACATAATTATTACATTAACAAGCAAATTGTACTGACATTTATATATGGTCTTAATTATTTTTGAGTTATAAGTGTTCTTTCAATATCGAAGAAATTGGTGAAACAATTATTATTGTAACTTTTTAATTTAGTGTACAGGAGCAGTTTCACAGTAAAGTAAACAAAAAAAGGTACAATCTTCTATCCATGTTAAGAGTTATGCTCTTTGCAGTGGGAACTGTGCAGTTCTATCCACGTTAAAGTGGCTTGGGTGATTCTTACTAGAATCATAAAAATCTCTGAAATTTTGAAATCATGTAAATGAAGTATGCCAAATTCCTTTGCGATAAAAAAAATTAGATTAGATTTAATTTTCAGAAAATCGCTACTGAAAGCTCACTAATTATATATCTAGTCTTGTAGGATTCATTACTAAAATGGCTATAACTCACAAATAAAAGACAAACTTCTTTAAATAAATGTTGTCTTTGTACATTTTTTCATAAAAAGTCTTTTTGAATTTTAAAAAGAATGTAAAAACTATTGAGATTTCAAGAAAATTTAGAGAAACAAGATTTATTATCTTCTCTGCATGCATAGATTGAAATGATGAGTTTTTATTATACTTTTTATAGATATTTTATAACTTTTTAGGCCAATAACACTCTGGAATTTGAATACGTGATTTAGATATTCAATTATCATGACAATAAACAAAAAATAGTTTTCATAATTCACAGAGCCTTAATGGGCCCCTCGATCGGTACAGCACCAAATGCCCAAGCCACCTTCAATCTTGTACATTTTTATTAATAGTCAAAATTTTGCACTGTAATCTTTAAAAACATTATGAATTACACACTGTACTCCACGATATTTTGATTTAGCTGATTACTTTTTAAAATTCAGGTGAAAAATATTTGTTTTTCACCTGTAATATTAGAAAATGGCTAAATATACGGTTAATCTTGGACGTATAAATAGTGTAGAAGTAGTAACTTGAATTTGAAAACTAAACATTTTTCCACACGACTGTTGATATCAAAAGTCTTAAGACGTACTAACTTTACTATGTTATTCTATAATAAAATTTTATCTAACTGAATTAATGTTTTCTTTTAATCTTTAACCACATAAACTTATTTTTAGAGGACCATGCAAGAGGATTGAGTACCTTCACTATAATGGCAGGTCTAGGTGGTTTCATGGGTTACGCTTTAGGAGGAATAAATTGGGATGTTACAGCTATTGGGCAAGCCTTGGGTGGACATCTTCATGCGACTTTCACGCTGATCACGATAATTTTCATCATCTGCGTTGCAAGCACTCTTACGAGCTTCAAAGAAATACCACTTGATTTTCTGGAGAGCGAAGAATGTCAGCAGCAGCTACATCTGAAGGTTTCTTTAGTTTCTTTTTATTTCTTGAATTATTAATTTTGTTATTTATCTAAATTTTTTTTCTCAAACGGTGCCGAGTACAAATACATTACATCAATGTCAGGATAAAAGTATAATTATTGTATTGATTGAGCTTTCTAGAATGAGAGCCTTGCGATTGCAATACCTCATCATTTTTATCGATTATTTCTGAATGAATATATTTAAATGTAATACCTTTTTTTCATGAATTCGCCTTGGTGCTTGCAAATTATTTTTTTTTTTTTTTAAACTGTAATAAATCCATCCTAAAA